CAAAAAAAAATTTTCAGCGGAGATGCGTTGGCGAATAATCTTTATGGAAATGTAAAAATTTGTGATTTAAACATTTTTTCGGGTAAAATTTAGTCATGAAAATATTGGTGGTTATTACAAAAAGAATAGAATTTTCTCAGATTTTTAAAAATTAAAAACCTATTCATCATAAAAGTAAATAATTAATGAATATGTACTGAAATTTTCATTTAAATTGGATAATTTTTCGGGTTTTGGTAATTTAAAAATCGCTGTTCCTCCCCCACCCCCGTTTTCCGTCGAGAGTTTGCGGCCCCCAGGTTGGAAAACTTTGAAGTCGACATGCAATAGATACGGGGGGCCGTATCAAAGTTTCGGGGTGGGGTGGAGACCCTAGAACTGGCCTTGCTTGCACCCCTTTCTATTTTTGTATATTTACTGAGTTCATTTTCTATCTGTATTCAGAGAGTATGCTCCCCGTATTAGTTCTGGATTATTCTAGTGTCTTTCCCAAATAAATCAAGCTTACCTAATAGTTCAAACAGTTCTTGGTGTCGTAATTTATCAAAACCTGCTCTTATTCGCTTCTTACCGAGTGAATTTTCGAGGAGAATGACAAATCAAGCAAAATGCTCCCAACATGAAGTCACCTGAACTCTCCAGACAAGCAACAGTGATCAGAAAATTTGATGACTCTCTTCAATATAATCGAAGAATGAAAAGCGGATACGCTGTTCTTTGACGCCCTGAAAGATAAGGATACCCACTTACCTAACAATCTTTAATTCGCCCTCTTTTCTAACACTTGAACCAAAACCGCAAATTCAGATGGACAGCAAAAGTTTAAAAACAAAACAAAAAAGAAAACTGATACTATAAATTATTGCAGCTGCCAAAAAGCCTTTGTGGTCCAGTAAGTGTGGTTGCATGTTTCCGGTCGTTTGATATTCATTAAGGCAATCATTTCTGTTATTTAGTCAAAATTGTTTTCATCGAAATAAGAAAGATCAAAAACTAATTTGCTTTTCCGCAAAAACTAAAAGGTCACAATAGATTGCATGCGTTAGTATCAGAAACCTGAAACCCAAGAGACTTGTTGATGCTAGCAGCATTATGAACAGGAGCTTAAGAATATTTCAAGAGCGCTTGTCATCAGGGTTGCCGGATTAAGCTACTTTTGAAAGCCTAGTGCTTTTAATTTCGCTACTCGCAACCCTTTGGGGCTACTTTTAAAATAAGCTGACTTCCCAATGAGAAGAACGTACATTCTCAACCTAGCAGCGAGCTAATAACATAACCAGGCAGTTTCTCAAGGATGTTTTTATTTTAATCATTTCATCCAAAGCATGGTAAATACATCCGATATCTGAACTGACATGTACTCTTTTAAATGCCTCCAATATCTGAAAATATCTGTACAGTTAAATACATCCGATATCTGAAATAATATGTACTCTTTTAAATGCTTCCAATATCTGAAATTCTCTGTACTCTGATAAATACATCCGATATTTGAAATGATATGTACACTTTTAAAATGCTTCCAATATCTGAACTCATCTGTACTCTTTTAAATGCCTCCGGTATCTGAACTTATCTGTACTCTGGTAAATGCATCGAGTATCTGAATTTATCTGCGCTCTGGTGAAGGCCTCCTGCCATTTTTTATAGATTACTAACTGTTACTGAAGAATGGCTATTTTTTAAGAATATAAAGTGATGTAAATACTAGGTTTGTTAAGTTGAACAGTCTAAAGCACAATCCAAAACGATACTTCATCCATGATTTTCGTAAATGTTTGGTAGGCGTATTTTGGTGGGGTCTTCCATGAGTCAATATTATGATAACAATATAAATCTGCTGTCAACAACTAAAACATTTAAACATCGTTTTGAATGAAGGGATAAACTGCCTGATCATTCGCAAAAGTGCGACGTTCCATCAAGATTATTGCTGGCACTTGTGTTTGAACATACAGTAAAGATCACATCTTAAAAAATTGAAAACCTCGATAAGGAAAATAATTTCCACGTCCTCATTATTTTCCGGTCTTGCTCCATCTGGCCACCATTTATTCCAGTATTTTACAGAACCATCTTGTTAGACACATTCTTAAGATACATCAGTTGGAAACGTTTCTATTTACATTTTTTCGACCAAACTAAAAGACTTCTTATATTTTTAAATCTATATATTTGTTATCGAACGCCTCCTAGGGTTTTGGAGATAGACCCCAATAAACGTATATATTCTGAAACTACTTTACACATGGTATATTTCTTTTGATCAAGAGAGAGCACAAACCCCCACTGATTTTTTCTCTTTGACATAAATTCAATTTGAATTTGAACAAGTGAATAACTTTTAGGGTACATGGATAAGTATGTTTCATTTTGACCAAAGGGTCCCCCCCTCAGGGACATACCCCCCCACCACCACCACTGATTTTTCCCCTTTGATTTAAATTAAATTTAAATTTGAACAAGGGTATGACTCCTAAAGAACTTGGATAAGGATATTTCATTTTGATCAAATGAAGTCCCTAGGGGTCCTAAAAATTCCACACTGAAAATCTTTCCCTTTGATTTAAATTAAATTTGAATTTGAAATGCATTATTTTTCTCCACAGATTATAACAATGATTTAAAATCAATCATCATTTTCTTACAAAAAAATGTGTGACACACAACAAGGCGCGGGTAGTTCGGCTAGTAGTATTATAAAGTTTGGGAATCCTTGGAAGGCGGTTATCGATAATAATGGACGCTATGATAATAAATTCAAATGAACTATGACTTTTGTTATAGAGTGTCATTGCTGGCACTTGTGTTTGAACATAGATCGCCAGTGAACAAACACAGGCGATTTGATTATTGAACTAAGTAGATCACGTGACCATAGCGGAAACGCATATATAGAGAAAGTCGCGTGACGTCTGAAGTGTTCGCTATCTCTAGTCTATCCTCTATACTATACGGGTTTCCATTCCTTCTCTGTTACTATTCGAACCGATATTCTCTACTCTATTCACTATACTATCTCTATTCGGATCACTATACGGTGGTTACTTTATTATCAAGCAAGTTCTATTAGTGCGAGTGTTATTCGACAGCGTCTGACATCAGTATTGTTCAACTGCGTACTATAGTTGTTTCTGCGATTACAAGGTCTCTACTACAACGAGCATTACCAGTGGGACAACGAGTATTCGTTGGCATGACAAAAGTGGCAGCAAGTGTACTTTTGAGATTATAAAAAAATTTTAATTATTTTTCTCACTCTAAATTCGGACGTCAATTATGCGATGGCCTGATATTATGTATCATGTGTAATATATACAGAGAACAGTGACCGCGGAACTTATTTAAATTGCTCTTTTTCTCGTGGAAGTCCCGACCCTGAAAAAAGAAAGCCCGACCCTTAATCTCTAACCTTGGATGGGTGACTGATTTTGGAAATGTAAATCTGATAGGGATAAATGAAAATGGCCACAAATGCTCTGCTCTATATTGCTAAATTTTCTTATTTAAAACTTTTGATAGCATTAGTTTCTACGACGGGCAAAGCTGCAAATATCTGTCAAATCAATAGATTTGGAAGCCATCTCCAAATATACACAAGATTTACCATTTGGGGAAAAAAGTTGAAATGTTTTCATTTTCTGTTAATTTCTGTTCAAATTCATTTATGTTAAAATTTTACCACAAACTTACATCACGAATTGTGTTTCTAGTCGGTGAGAAGAAGAAAAAAATGAAACATTTTATTTTAAACGTCCTTACTTTAAAGTTAGAGACGTTAGAGTCTAACGAAAAAGAAACTTGCTCAATGTCAGTTCGAATACAAATGTCAAAGTCAATTCATTCAAAGTCAAGCACCTTTCACTTTTTTTGAGCATCTTCGTTCAAAAATTGAAAAATACTAACGGCAAGATGGATTAAATTAATCTAATCTAATGCAAACGCACCAAACACAAGTTATTTGTTTGTTTTATAAGAAAACTCATAATAAGGAAACATGGCGTCACAGGAAAAATTGCTTTCAAACACAGAAATATACTGGCTACAGAGATATCTACTGTTGTAGACTTTGTTAAAAAATTCCAATCTGTTAAAGGTGCAGCAATTATATTGTTAAAACTACTTTATATTCATAAAGTAACTTCACTGCTGATGCATGCTGGGAGTTTAATACCTCTCGGAAAAAAACACCAAAGATCGACCTCCTATCACAGGCTATGATTTTGGTGAAGACGGCAAACACATAAAACTGGTTGTACGCGTTGTTGTAAGCCCCCGAGCCAAATAATATAGAAATTAGAGAGGCCACTCAAATTATCAGCCTGCTGAGTTGGCACCAGATATCACCAGCCTACAAACTCACCGGCCCACCATGAGTTTACACTGTTTCCCGGCGGCCCAATCCGTCCCTATGTCAAAATAGTCTATGAGGTGTGCCTCGTAAATCATTAAAGTAAAATCATTAAGTAAATCAATATAAAGTCTTTTTTTTTTATCATCAGTCTGAATATTTATTTAGTTGAGTCTAATACAATAAATGTTAGGGTGAGATAAGCGTAATACTAGATTGACACGTAGATCTCAACATTTTACTGTCGAAATTATTGAATGTAACTTTAATTTCTATTCCAATATTTTCTTCGCTTGCATTTCTCTCTTGTGGAATTCTCTCCTGGCTTCTTACTTTGTTCTCAACTATAATGTATAGAAATTTAAATGCAACGTCAAACGTCGTCATCTGTTTCTTCGAATGCCGTTTTTTATTTTCCTTTCTCCTTAGTAACGTTTTCTCTGTTTCCTTCATTCTATTATCTTTCATCACCTTGCTCAGGCTGAAACGATTTAAAAAAAAAAAAAAAAGAAAAAAGCTTGACATGCAACAACTATTCACATGGAAATTGCCTGGCACTGGAGTAAAATTAATAATACAAGACAGGTCACTTTTGTACAATGAACGCCAAAGATTTGAGCCATTTGTACTTGTAAAATCCAGGTCAACCATGTGGATTCTCTCTCGCCTGTCTCTAGCGTTCTCTTCCTCTATCACCATCCCTTTCTCTCTCTCTCTCTCTCTCACTGTCCATCTGTCACCATCCTTTTCACTCCCCTTCTCTCACCATCCCTCACTCTCACCCACATTCTATCTACTAGCTTTTTCTCTCACTATCCATTTCTCTCATACTCCTTCTCTCTTTCTCTTTCTCCCCATCTTTCGCCACCCCCCTTTCTCACCTTCCTTCTCTCTCTTTCTCATCATCCCTCTCTCTCAGCCTAATTCTCTTTCTTTCTTTTTCTCCTTCTCTCACCATCCCTCTCTCTCACCTTCCTTCTCTCTTTTTCTTTCTCTCCATCTCTTACCGTCCCTCTCTCCTCCTCCTCTTTCTTCTTCTCTCACCATCTCTATCACTCTCCCTCTCGCTATCTCTCTTTCTCTGCTACACTTCCTTTCTCTCACGCTCATTCTTTCTTTCTCTCTTATCATCTCTTTTTTCAACTTCATTCTCTCACCCTCCCTCTTTCTCGCCCTTATTCTCTCTTTCTTTCTCTACCTCTCTCACCATCCCTTTCTCACCCCCTTCTCTCTTCTTCCCCTCTCTCAGTATCCTTCTCTCTTACCCTCCTGCACTCTCACCATCCCTCTTTCTTACTTTCGTTTTCTCTCTCCTTCTCTCACTATCCCTCTCTCTCACGCTCCTTCTGTCTATCTCTATTTCTTTATCATCACCCCTCTCTCTCATCCTTTTTTTTTCTCTCTCTCTCTCTCTCAGCATCCCTCTCTCTCATCCTCTTCTCTCTTTCTCTCCCTATCTCACCATCACTTTCTCTCACCCTCCTTCACTCTCTCTTCTCTCACAATCTTTCTCGTATCCTCCTACTCTATCTCTTTCTCACTCTCTTACCATCGCTTTCTCTCATCCTCCCTCTCTCCTTCTCTCAGCATCTTTTTGTCACTCTCCTTCTCCCTATCTCTATCTCATTCTCTCCATCTCTGACCATCACTCTCTTATCCTCCTTCTCTCAACATCCCTCGCTCCCACCGTCATTCTATCTCTATCTCTATCTCTTTCTCTCACTCTCCTACCATTCTTTTTATTACGCTCCTTCTCGCTCTCTCTTTCTCCCTTTTTCATCATCCCCCTTTTTCATCTTCCTTCTCTCTCTCTCACCCTCCTCCTCTCTCTTCTCTCCCTCTCACCATCCCTCTCTCTCATCCTCCTCTATATTTTTATCTTTATCTCTCTCTCTCTCTCTCTCTCTCTCTCATCCATTGCGATTTTTTTTTTCAGAAAATAAATATGCCGATTTAATTACTTTTACAAGCCGGTTGATTTTATCGGTTAATTTACACCTTGACATCCATTTTTGACATGTTTGATCGAATCTGCTGAATTTAATTACGCAATTTTCTAACCTACTTGCGTTTTGCAAAAATGAAAAAATAAAAAAAGATTAAACGACGATGTTCTTTGTTTCACTGAACCTTTTATTTTTAATCAATCCCCCCCCAAACAAGGCGATAAGGCTACTAAGATGCAAAGGGAGTGAAAGATAATAAAAAAGAACCGGAAACCCAATCCTAAACAGAAATCAAAGCTTAAAAACCAAATGCAAAATTATTTCCTTGTGGCTTTTTGCCAATGAATAAAAGAAGAAAAGTTGTTATCTAATCGTCTTGTTCAGATGGCTGTAATTTTTGGGAAGCAAACAAAATTGAAAATGAAACTCTTTCGAAAAAAAACAAAAAACAAGAGCATGAAAGATTGGAAATTACTAAAAATAGAACTTTCAAATTATGGTTTTATTCCTGAAATAAAAGCTTTTATTCTTTACTTTATGGGTGCGAGATTTTTTTTTCGTTTTTATTTAACTTTGTATTCTTGATTCTACGTTTCAGTATTAAAAGACGGCTATCATCTTGTGGGTTATCCCCACATAGCTTCGCGAGTTTCAACGAGAAGTCGTTAGAAGATGCTGTCAAGCGGCTAAAAACCACAACACTTCCAGTCTTTCTCTTTCTTTTCCTCCCAGCATGCTGGTGGGGGGGAACACTAACCGGCACCGTACCGGATATGGGAATATCTTACCCATTACTGACTGAACTTTATTCGCACACACGCGCATGCGCGTATCATTCACATAATACTTGTAATGTCTTCCTTTCTATTGCATGCATACTTGTGTATTTTCTTTCTCTTTACTCGGCTATATAAAATCAAAAATATAATATTTCACCCTGCTAAAATTCATTCTATTTACACCCGTCATTTATCTGTACAAAATATTTTTGCAACGGCTTTTAGTCAAACTATACAGTGATACGATTTTGATTTAATTAGAAATCCTAGCAGGATTCATTACTGGCAGCCACAATCTTAACGATATAAGATATGCAGATGACACAGTGTTGAGAGTAGACACGGAAAGGAAACTAAAAGAACTCCCCCGGAAGGTATTGAAGGAAAGCAGGAAGTATGAAAAAAAAAATTGAAAGAAAAGAAATTTCCTGATTCTTAGCAAAAGGATGAGCCCAAAATGCAAATTACAAATTGGGGATACTAAAATGAAACAGATACAAAATTTTAAATATATGCGAAATGTTTTAACAGAGGACGGAAAGTGCGACGCTGAAATCCGAAGGCGTATTGGGATAGCGAAAGGTGCATTCCAAAAGCTAAGCAGAGTAATAATAAACAGAAAAAAATCTTCCTTAGAAACAAAGATTACTGAACTGTTACGTGATATCTGTTCTATATGGTAATGAATGTCATATAAGACAAATATCAAAGATGAAGAGACTTGAAGCAACAACAAGTTGGTTCTACAGAAGTATGGTGATGATACCATGGACAGAATATGTGAGTAACGATGAAGTTTTAGAGAAAATGGAAACAAAAAGGACACATATTTAACATAAGGAAGAGACAGTTGAAATTTCTAAGGCACACAATGAGGACTTTGAAAATCTGATACTCACAGGGCAGACTGAATGCAAGAGGGACAGAGGAAAACAATGCCTAATATACTTGGTAACCTTGAAGAAATGAAAGGTGAAATAAGGTTTAAGAGAAATAACAAAAAGACAAAGAGAGTTACAAAGGACAGGAAATTGTGGAGAGCTATGATCGCCTATGTCCTGAGGGGACATGGCACATAAAGAAGAAGAAAAAGTGGAGCCTGCAGCGGTTTAGCAACCACACGCGAATTCAACATTCACCTACTGCAACAATTATAAAAATCCAATATAAAATGGATGTTCAAAATTTGGAAAGTTAAGACAGTGAGTAAATTTTCATGGCGTTCAGTTGCGATTTCTTCTCTCTTCTTAGCAGAACAATAGACAGGGTGGTAAGTTACATTGTTACATCCAGTACTCCATCGAAAATGTGTAACGTGATTATCCGGAATTCAATTATCCAGACGAGAAATGAAGAGAAATATAGAACAAACCCGAACATTTTTCAATTATACAGCCTAAACCATTCTAATATTTAATCTCAGACAATGATGTTGAGAATTTAGAAAACCATATTCAACGTTTAGTAAAAAAAGGTGTTGTTAATTTCTTCATTGTTTTCATACAAATAACATACATTTGAACTATCAGTGAGCAGGGTATTATAACTTATAACCGCGAACATTTGGCTGTGATGCATGTGCTTGATATGCACTTGTCAGGTCGAACGTCATGATGATTATATATGAGAGAGGGAGAAGGGGGCTGAGAGATAGTGATGAAAGAGAGAGAAGGAGGATGGTGAGAGGGAGAAGGAGGGTGAAAGAAAGGGACTGTGAGAGAGAGAGAGAGATAATGAGAGAAGGAGAGAAAGAGAGAGGGTGAAGGAGGTTGAGAAAGAGGGATGATTAGAAAGAGAGAGAAAAGGAGAGAGAGAAGAAGGATGAAAGAGAGAGATTGTGATAAAAAGAAAGAGAGAAGGAGGGTGAGAGAGAAGGATGGTGAGAAGAGAGAGAGAGGAAGGGAGTGAGAGAGAGAGGGATGGTAAGAGAGGGAGAGAAAGAGAGAAGCAGGCTGGAGAGAGAATTTGTACCACATGGGTATCCTGGATTTTACAAGTACATGTACAGTATCATATTGGCTGTCATGATGATTCTATTTGGCTTCGTACATTTCTACCTTAGCATCAGTTTGTTCGTGTGCTGCTCTCTTTAATAATAATAATAATAATAACAATAATAACAACAGCAACACTGGGAGAACAAGGCGATGCATGGCAAATACATACAAAGAACGAAAGAAGCAGATGTGGACCAACAGAAATCACATCAGTGGCTGAGGAGCACCGGGCTGAAAGCTGAGAGAGATTGCAGCTTAGGACCAAAGCCTCGTAACCAGATCCTATCACTGTCACATAATCAGTGATGGAACTAACCCGAAATGCAGGATCTGCGGAAAATATGATGAAACTGTCGACTATATTATCTCAGGATGTCCGAAACTGGCAACAACAAAAAAAAGGAATAAAGCCACTAAAACGCAAGGGGTTACTGAGTGTGAGAGAATATGAGAAAAAAAAAGTTATTAACTAAGATCGAACAATAAACGAACAGGAATTAAGAAGGCTGAAGATAACGATTTACATTGCATTTTAAATTTCTGACAGTGAAGCAAGCTGGAAGAGAGTTCCGTGAGCGAGAAGCGCGAGGGAATTGCTAGCATAGAACTTACGGTTACCATTTCAACTATAAAATGATGAGGTCTTGCTGTCAATCTGGTAGTACGCTTAAATTTGTAAAGTCTAGGTACCATGAAGGAAACTTCATCAGAACTATTACCATGAAATTATAGAAAAGGCAAAGGAAACTGTTACGGCGAGGTAATAGTTTACAAGCTTCTCTCGATAGATAAATTACTAATAATAATGAGTAGCGATTTCGATCCTCACTGGGTGCTCCATGTTTGCGTCTTTGTACTACATCTAAGTTATGCTAAAGCATTGTTCATGAATTCATCGTCAGGTACAGCTTAGGATTTAGAACATGGAACTTCAGGGACAAAAAGCTCTCTACATCAACTCTATTGTTGGTATAATCCATAACAACCGAATATTTTTTTAAAGTCTATTTCAAATCTAACCAGGATTTTTAAAAATTATTTTTCCAATGGTGAAAGAAAAGGGAAGCGACGCAATACATTATATAAGATTGCAACATAACGTGATAAAACCCAAAATGTGACATGGCTTGTATGATCAAACGAGACTCCCATATTCAGTAATACGTTTTTAATCGTTTCACTCCAAGCAAGGCGATAAAGCCTCTAAGAAGTAAGGGATTATTGATAGTGAAAGAAACTGTGAAAACGTTACTGAGGAGAAATGACAATACAAAGGAACAGGATTCAAAGAGACGGAAGATCGTATAGACGTTGCATTTAAATTTTTGAAGATCGTATTTGACAGAAAAGCAAAGAAGCTGGAAGCGAGTTCTGCAGAAGAAACTATTAGAATAAAACGGCTACATTTAGCAATTTCAGCTGTAAAATGATGAGACCAAACCGCCAATCTAGTACTGCGCTTAAATTCATGAAACCGAGGTACAAAAGAAGAATACTCATCAGAACAATTGCAGTGGAAATATTTGTAGAATAGGCCCAGGGAAACTACGTTTGGCGATAGGAGAAGGATTGAAGCTGAAATACCAGGTCACAGCCGACATTGCAGATTGTTCTTTAAATTTTCTCAAGAATCACTAAATACACAGCAGAATCTCAAGAACAGATGTACGAATAATATTCAAAGCACGGACGAATAGTAGATACATACGTAAAAAATGACAAAGTAGACACAGCCGGTTGAAGAATTATGCGACCGTGTTCAGGTGCTGATGTGGATTTAACCAGAGATCGCATATATACGGGGAGCAGTAAGTATTTTCGGTCAGGTAATAAATCTATGTTTTGTCGAAGGACCGGAAGTGGTCAAGCAATATTCTTTTTTCTTTCTCTTGATTTTTTTCTTTCTTTTTCTTCTAGATACCGAAAAAAGGGAGGGCTATCAACCAACATACAGCAAGCTGTGTTGTATCTTTTCATAATTACCACGACTAGAACACTGTCTGTTGCATGACCTGTTTCTATGATATTAGGTACGGTGACACTCAAACCTGTTTATTATAAACATCAGAAAAAGATTAAGAATCACGTTTGTAATGAAGTATCTTGTTGCGTTCGACGAGATTTTTAATTTATATCTTAAAATCGAATACAAGAAAATGAAATACAACAAGTAAAAGTTAATGAATGTAACTGATCATTATATATATATATATATATATAT